GTTGTTGTTATGTGCCGTCGAGTCGCTTGTAAAACAGCCTATGTACAACAGCCCTAAACTCTGCTCTGTCCTGTGCCAATCGCACTGTCTCTGACACTCCCATCCCAATTATCCCAGTCACTGAATCAACCCACCTCATAGAGGGCCCTCCTCTCCTGCGCTGTCCCTCCACCCTCCCAAGCATGATATCCCTCTCCAGGGACCGGTCTCTCCATATATATAAAAATTCCAAGTAGTTTTTCTCCCCTTCATTTCTATGTAGTTCTCAATTTCTGTGATCTGAAGGTCTGTTGTACACAAAGAAGGGGGAAATTGATGACAAAACCTACTAGAAACATTAAGAGTTTTCCAAATAGGAAAACAAGTATACACCCAGCCTGAAAAAAAACTGCCCCTAATTTGGTTGCATATTCCTTGGAGACTAAGGATAGATTTGCCTTTTCAGGGAGCCAAGATCATGGCTGGCTTGAAGGTGAGTATTTTAATGATAAATTTAATGAGAAACTTGTTTAATTAGCACTGCCACCATTCATAAATTAGCTACTGTCCTCTAGACACCTTATAGACAGGTGTTGTATATAAGGTTGTTCTATGGTCTTTATTTGATGGATGGTGAACTCAACTACCACCACAGGAATTTGATGGGGCCCAGAATCCAAATGTGACTCTCCTGATTCAAAGTCTTACTCACCAAATTGCCATCTCAAAAAATTCCACCCATCACTGACGAGCTTAAGTTTACTATTAGTGATTTAGTCTTTTAGTCGTGGAGTCTCTGGCATCTAAACCCAACCTTCTCCCCTCCACAGAAGCCTGTGGAAGGGAGAAAACAGCTGAGTGATTACTCAGGGAGCAGGTATTGAGGTCTGTCTGGATTTTAATCCAGGCACATTCATGTCCTCACCTATAATATGGGAGTGTTAGTGTTTCCAGGCTTATGGGATTATTGTGAGAACAGAATGAATGCCTGGGCACAGAGAATGCATAATTGCTCACCATGCTGTTAGGGAGAACTACCTTTCCCTACCACTCACTCATGTATCATATGCCACACACTCTCCTAAGTCCTGGGGAGTCATCTACAAAACAGTAAAATCCCTCTTTTCACTCATACTCTAACGGAGGGGGAAACAAGAATGTAAGTACAATATAGAGTATAGTAGATGGTGGTACCATGGAGATCACATAAGCGACAAAGGACTGAGGTCTGGATGAAAAGTCAACATTTTAAATTGGGTGAGCAGCGGTTGCCCAGATGACCTGAACAAAATGAGGTGTATTCGTTTTCTAATCCTGTTGCAACAAATTTAGTGACAGGAATAATACAAATAATTTGTCATTATACAGTTCTGGAGATGAGCAGTCCAAAAATGGATCTCTCTGGGCTAAAATCAAGGTGTGGGCAGAGCTGTGTTTCTCCTCGAGGTCCTAAGAGAGAACCCATTTCCTTGCCTCTTCCAGTTTCTAAAGGTTGCACAGAACTATCACTCTAATTCCTTTAACTCAAACTCTCCTGCCTCCCTCTTTCCCTTATAAGGACTCATGAATACCTTGAGGGCACCAGAGCAACCTAATCATTTCTGCAAAAGGCCCTTTTGCCATGTAAGGTAACATATTCACAGGTTCTGAGGATCAGGAGGCAGTCAACTGTGAGGGGCCCTTTTCTCTTTACCACAGGAAGCATATCTAAAAATGGGAGCATCAAGTTCAAAGGCCCTGAGGCAGGGTTGTCTGGAACATTTCTGGATGATGATGGCCAGTGGAGATGCAGGAGAATGGGTGAGGGGGGAAAAGTGGGAGAAATGAGGTTGGAGACATGAGGTAGAGCAGCTGTTGCAGGCCTCTGAGTGTCCCAATGAGGACTTTGGTCCTTACCTGAGTGAACAGGGAGGGATATGATCTCACAGGTTTTAACACGATCCCTCTGGCTGGTGCATTTAAACTAAGAGGGCGGGTCTGGAAGCAGAAGAGCCATGAAGAGGCTGCTTCAACATCCAAATGTGATGAAGGTGGCTGGGTCACAGGGGTAGAGCAAAGTGGTGAGAAAGGTCTCCTGAATTCTGAAGGCTGAGTCACAAGGAGTTATTTAAGGGTCAGATATGAAGAAAGGGAGTCAGGGAGGCTGCCAAGGTTCCTGGCCTGATCAACCGGCAGAATGATGATACTCTTTAAGACAGGGAAAACCACAAGAGCAGGCTTAGGAATGGTGGTGTAAGATCAGGAATTTGGTTTGATATGCCTGTCGGCTAGCCAAGTAGACATAATGAGCAAGCAGTCAGATGAAGTACGGAGTCTGGAGTTTAGGAGGACATCTACTTAGGAGGCATCAACAGAAAGGTGGTACTTAAGTCACAAGATTTGGTGGGATCTCCACACGAGTGCATGCAAAGTGGCAAAAGGACTGAAGACTGAGGACCTGGGCCTACTGAGGAGTGATGGAATAGGAAAGCCAGACAGAGAGAGGTCCTGTGAGCAAAGAGATATGACCAACAAAACAAACTATGACGTGGGCCTGGTGGACCAGCAATGACTGTCCTTGACTTTTTAGTGCTGCTCTCTGGCAAATAATCTTTCATAAGGCAATTTAGAGAGTCAGGTCAACAAAGGTGGCCCTGACATGGCAAGCCAACGATTGTCTACCCTCCAGGAAGCTGGGACATGCTCTCCTAAAGGTGCGGTCTCCACTCTGCCAGCATACTTCTTCCCTGGTCTCAATTCCTGTAGGACCACCAGAACTCAACTCGGACACTTTCTTTCTGCCAGGTGGTCTCCCTGACCACGCCCCCAACATCCAGCTGGATGCCTCTCACCTTAGCTTTCATAGATCCACTGCTCACTCCTGTTCAAGAACACCTAGCACGAAATCTGCTTCCATGTCTCCCACTAGGCTAAGAGCTGTGTGGGTTTCTGGGAAAGGATCCTGACTTCTCCATTCCCAGCACCTAGTATGGCGCCCACTGTCTGAGACTTAGGAAGCATGTGTGCACAGAACTACTCAGCAGAAGCCCCTCCGCATGCTGGTGTCTGACCAAGGCTGGCACATCAGCTCCAGTCCTTCCTTCAAGACTTCCTGTGCTGAAACAGAAGGTGTCAGAAAATTTTCTAGAACATCTCTGCATCAGAGCAGAGACCCTCACATCACTGGGCCTGGCACTAAGCCAGATGCTAAGAGGACATTGACTTGCAGCTCTCACATGTGCGTCAGGGAACTGTGTTCCATAGGCCTTGACTGATCAGAAGCTGACTGCTAGAATGTTCTTCCAAGGCACCTCTGGTGGACTAAAGTCTCAACCTTCAGTTAGAAACCAAGCACATTTATTTTATCAATTAAGGACCCCACTAGGCATTTGTTAAATATAAAGGAAAGGGCTGTGAAGTGGGTCCAACATTCAGTTCAGGCACTTTCAAGCAGTCTGGACTCCTATCTCCCACTCATAAAATGTACACAACCCGAGTTTAACCTCTTCATGACTGATGTCAGAGTTGACAACTGCGGAAGTATCTGGCGACTTTCAACAAGCCAGGCAAACCTGAGTGACCACCAGGGCCTTTCCTCAACAGATGATCTGCAGCACATGGATCTGGGCGGCCCACCCCAGGCAACATGAGGCCTCCCACTTGATACCCCTGGTTCTGCTCAAGCCACTTGGAGAATGAGCAGTGTTCTTCTCAGGCGACAAGAACCTGTGGCCTGGACCCAGCGGAAACTTGAACCCATCCATGGATGCTCCTTGATGTTTCCAGTGACTAAGGGCCACACGAAGCAGCTGGTTGACCTTCCTGAAACTCTGTCCCAGGGTGACTCTCTGACCATCCTCACCCCACACCACACCCTCCGAGCAGGGACCCAGGCTTCCCTTTCACTCACCAACAGACAACACAGAGACATGGGCAGCATGCAGTGTAGTTTATTGACATCTATGTTCCCAAATAACTTTCTCCATGATGAGGGAATATAAGAGCTGAGGGCAGGGAGATTGCTGTACAGGTAGAACCTGAAAGGCACACCTTGAATGGGCTGAAAGAGCTTGGTCTGAAATGGAAAGTCTCTGCACTTCCAAGGTTCAGAAGGTTTGTGGCCAAGAAGCACACACGCACTCAGCAAATCTCCTCCCTTCAGTGGGACGGAGGATTTGCCCTGGCCTGGGTCCTCGGCTGGCTCTCAGGCCTGCTGCTGCCATGTGTGGATCCCTGGCACTGTGGAAGCCACGTGTCTTGACCTGAGCAAACAGGTGAGGCCTGGCTATGTCTGCACAGCTGAGGCCAAGCTGGTGATTCACAGGAACTCTGCAGTGCACAAATAATGGGAGGGCAGTGCCTGTCAGCACCAGAGCACGACTCCTAAAATGTAGTGTAAGTCCACAGGGCAGTGACTAAATGTAGACACAATGACTAGTAAGAAAATCTAATTCTGAGAGCTGACTTGACTTCTGAATGAGCCTCCCAGCCCTCTTTGCTCACTGGGAGTTTTACTGGGATTCCAAACACTCATAGAAGGAAGAGGAAGTGATGGTCTGCCCAGCTGGGGCCCGGAGCCCGTCACAACTGTCCAGCTTTCTGTGGTCACAGGGCATCCCAGCCCCCTCAGACCCCGTGTCTGGGGCGGAGAGTGGGAACAGGATGTTGAGTCCCAGGAGGGCTGCTCCCCCAGGCCCTCGTCCACCCACACGGCTCCACGGCCTCATCTTCTACCGCTTCTTCTTGGTCTCCTTCTTGGGTCTCTTGCTTGCCGAAGGAGGGGTAGCCTTGGACTTCCTCGTCACCTCAGCACTTCTGGGCTCAGAAGGTTCTGCCCCCTGCACAGTGACAAAAGGAAGAATCCTGCTTAGATGAAGACACCTGACACAAGCTTGTGTCTGAAGGGACTTTGCAAACTGAAACAAGTCACACAAACACGGGTGGAGGCCATTATTAAGGGGACCCAGGATTCATAAGTATGTGGAATTACTCTCAGGAAACAAAGCAGATCTCAGTGAAGACTAGAAGAGGCTCCATAGGGAGGAGGAGGAGTCTCTCACAGGAAGGGGAGGAGTCTCTCAGACCTGAGTGGAATTGTATCTCCATAGCTTTCTACACAACTCACCTCTCCTTTGGTTTTGGTTTACTTACCTGTGAAATGGTATGTGTGGAGGCACAGATGCATGGAAAAGACTTGGTAAATGACAGCTGCAACCCACCTATGGCAGGGGCCTGGCAGAATTCGGGTAAGAAGCCACACTGCTGGATGGGTCCACTGCAGCCTTCTTCCTCCCAGCTAGCCCACAGAATGCTAGGGCAGGAGGAGCCGAGAGGGCAACCAGGCAGCAGTGGGGGGACTGGGAGAGGTGCCAGGGAGAGGCTGGGGCAGCCTCAAGGAAAGACTCTTAAGACTCTCCCTTCAACAGGAGCAGCTCCATTCAGTACACTTAGATTTGCTCCTTGTAAGACTTGATTTCAATAAAGATCTTTCTGCTAACAATGGGTCCGGGCCCAGGCCTTACTCTAGTGATAAAGTGGTCTTGGGAGAAGGAACATGGCCTGGTGCAGGCCACTCTGAGAGTCTTCTCATGTCAGAGAAGAGCCGGGAACACACTGTTCCTGTTCAGTACTCCTTCCTCCTCTGGTGGTAACACACAGCGTGCTGTGGATAGGAAGGTCAGCCAGGTGGGAGCATTCCTGTTACATCTGTATTCCCAGCTTCTCCTGAAAACTTTAAATATCCAGTGACCCTGGAACATCACTCCATCATGGCAGCAACTGGCTGAGCAATAGCTGTCCCGAGCAAAATCAGGTCCCTACAACCTCCATCACCCCACTGGTCCCCTCCTCACTGACTCATTGCCATCGTGTCAGAACTGACTCAGTTAACCCTCCAGTGTGTAAATCACATGAGAGGAGATGGTCCATCTTCCCCCACTGCTGGTGGATTTGAACCACCAGAGAGAGAGTGCTGTCCTTGAGTTAACAGTACAGCTTTCTATAGACTATGCCACCAGAGCTTGCTACTGCCCTCCTAGAACAGGGAGGACATGGTCACTATCACCTGCATCTTAAGAAGCCCTGGTGCCGCACTGGGAAGCTGACAATCTCAACATACCAGCAGCTAGATCCATAGGAGAAAGAACCAGTGAGGTGCTTGTATAAAAGATTCGATTACAACCATGAGAAGCCTAAACGGCTGTTCTACCCAGGACCTAGGCAGGACCAACTGCGTGCCTCCCAGCCACACCTGTGTCTTTAAAAACTGGGAAACCAAAATGCAGACTAAGAATACTGGAGGGAGCCCATTATTTCTAGGAGGGAAAAAAACCCTTTTCCACGTTAATCTTGCCAGTGTGACTCACCCCCTAAACTTCCCTGCTCACTGGGAGGGCCCGTCCAAGGCTCTGCCCTACAGAAGAGGGACCCCCACAGTGGAGGTGGGGGGCAGTCCCTACCCAGGGTCCAGGGAGTATGTCTGTCGCCTCCCTCTTACACTGCTGTCTCCACCCAGCTTACCACCAGATGAGATAGCCCAGTTTCAGGCACCTAGTGAGTCACCTTTTGAAGATAACAAGAGGGCTACTCATAACCCTGGCCAGGTCCCTGACTGGCACTCTGGGCTGCCCTACCCTCATGGCCTGTATGTTTTCTCATTAAAAGGCAAAATGATGTTGAGGGTCCCCCATGTTAATTGTTGATAGAATTTGAGGGGGAAATAGTTAAGCCTATTACAAAAAGAAGCAAAACCAAACCAAAGGTCAATGTTGAAGAAAGGCCCAGTGGCCTCTGCATAGGGAAAATGCTAGGGCCTGTCTAGATGTCCATGCCTTGGAGCCCCTGCTGAGCTCAATTTGGGGTGCCTCCTCTGGTTTAGGTCACTGGGCCTTTCTGGATCTGTTTGCCTGGGGCTCGCTCTCTGACTAACTGCTTTGCAGAGATCCTGTGGTGGACCTGGTTTCTCTCTCCCGAGATCGCACACATAATGCTTCTTGGCAGGCTTGTCTTCAAAACTGACCTTTGGTTTGGTTTTGCTTCTTTTTGTAATAGGCTTAACTATTTCCCCCTCATGGTGAAGAGATTGAGATTGTACACAGCTTTAGTTTGCTTGGCTCCACAGTCAACAGTCTTGGCACCAGCAGCCAGGAAATTAAAAGGCGCATTGCCATGGGAAAGTCTGCTGTTAGGGACCTCTCCAAAGTACTGAAGAGCAATGGTGTCTCTCTGGAGACTAAGGTGCGTCTGATACAGGCCATGGTCCTCGCAATCACTTGTTATGCATCAGAGAGTTGGACAATGACCAAGGAGAATAGAAGGAGAATTGATGCCTTTGAGCTGTGGTGCTGGAGAAGAGTATTGAGAATACCATAGACTGCTAGGAAAACAAACAGATTTGTCCTGGAGAGGGTTAAACTGGGTGGCTCCTTGGAGGCAAGGATTCTGAGGCTTCGTCTAACATACTTTGGATATGTTGTGAGGAGAGACCAGTCCTTAGAGAGGGACATCATGCTTGGGAGGGTGGAGGGACGGCGCAGGAGAGGAAGGCCCTCTATGAGGTGGATTGATTCAGTGACTGGGATAATCGGGATGGGAGTATCAGAGACAGTGCGATTGGCACAGGACAGAGCGGAGTTTAGGGCTGTTGTACATAGGGTCGCTATGAGTCGCAAGCGACTCGATGGCACATAACAACAACAACAACAACCCTCTGGTTTAAGTGGGGAAGTTCATAATTTAAAGTGCTTCCTCACTCCACATACCCTCTCTCTGGACGTTCGTCATTTCTGGCGTCTTTAAGACAGACCTCTCTCCTAAGCTCGGGCCACACAGCTGTCAGGTGACTGGAACCACTCGGTTTGTGGGTCTGGGGTCTCTAAGTCCCTTTTCCTACAAGCTGGCCCTTCCTACCATCCCACCCCTCCCCTTAAACAGACACAGCCCCTCTTTGTCTCCTCCCCTTCATCTTATCAATCACCAGGCCCTAGTAACCAGCTGAATTTCCTCCAAGGAAAGAGCCCTGGTCATGCCATGGTTATGCTTCATAGTGGTTAATCAAAGGGTGGATAGTTCAAATCCACCAGTCTTTCTGTGGGAGAAAGGACCTGAGGGGCTGTCCCCAAGAAAACAAAGACCTGCAATCAATGCCCATAGAGATCACAGCCTAGGAAACTATTGTGTCCTACAGGGTCGCACACAATAACCCCGTGAAGGAAACCTGGCAGCACTTAACAGCTAAGCCCTCAGCTGCTAACTGAAAGGCCAACAGTTCAAATCTGGCAATCTGCCTCAATAACGATGACAGCCAGCAAGTCTCCACAGACTGTTCCCAGCAGCCAAGTCAGCCCACCGCTAACTCACTTCCCTGCTCTCTATCCTATTTCTTCAGTAGCTGCCAAAGGAACTTTCCTAAAGTACACATCCAACTGGACCACTTCACATACACACCCCCACCTTTAAACCCTCCAGTGGCTCCATCACCCACAGCTTCATCCCACACCTGGAATATCACCGAAGGATGGTACCTCCCCATCGGGGGTTCTCCCCAGTCCAACACCAGGTCAGGTCCAGGGACTCCGGCTCTGCCAGGTGGGACACCTGTCTTTCCACAGGCATCCAGAAAACCCCTCCCACAGTCTGATGATCTCAAGAACACACTCCTCCTCACTGTCAAGCCTTGCTTCTCCACTTGTCTACCTCCAGCAGGGTGCCACCCTCCGCCAACAGCCACCCTCCTGCTACCTTAAATACTACCATTTTTACCATAATGACATGTTTTAATATCATTCTCCACTACTGGCCTGTGCACTCTGTGCGCTCCTTGGAAAAGCTTCAACTGCTGCTGAATGAATAAATGAATGAAAGAAAGGAGAAAACAGGTTAAGTCTCTCAAAGCCAAGCCTCAAACAAGCCAAAGGAGCTTGTTTATTATTGTGAAAATACACCTAAGACAGGGCTTCTCTTTTCCTACGAGCACAGAGGACATAGGCAGATCATAAACCCTGAAGTGTGGTTAGTCATTTTTGTTAATAATAATGATAACAACAACAATAGTAACAACTGCAACAGCTGCTGGTATATATTATTTATAACATGCCAGACCCCATTACATGTTCTGGGTATAATCTTACTTTAGCCTCACAAAATGCCCTAATGAACCGCCTTTTATGAAAGGAGGAGACAGTGAAAGGGGCTATGTGATCTGTCTAACATCTTAGTTGGTGTGAGGCCAGATCTGAATGTCAGGCTTTAACAGTTCTATTGTCTACCTCTTCCTCCCAGATTCCCGGGGATCGCAGGGCTAATAGAGACCATGAATCTGAGTCAACTGTAAAGCTGGCTCAGCAGCCTCGGGAACCACAAGGTAACTATGGAAGGGCAAGACTTGCTCTGGCTGGGTCACTTGTCTGGTTCTGGAGGCCCCTACTCCGGTTCTCAAGTTCGTATGGGCTCCGGAGGAGTGGGCCGGCCTTCCACGAGTCACGCTTTATTTCTTACAGTTGAAAGCAGCTCTCTGTGGGTGTGTGTACACATTACAGTCATCGAGTCATCTGAATGTATTCTGCCTCCTCTCCCCAGACCTCCCCCTCTTCCCCATCTCAGTTTTTGGGACTGTCAGCCATCCAGTCCCCCAAGCTGGAAACTCCAAGTCATTTCTAAGTCCCTGTCATCCTCTCATGCTCCCCACAAACAATCTGTCCCCATGTCAGTCCATTCTCCTTTCCAAGGGGCACTAAATGCCGCCCAATCCCTCCACAAGCACCCTACTGCTGGACCAGATACCCCTGTTTCCCTGCCTGGCCCCTCATGTGTCAACCTTCCAGGTTTTCCTGACTTCCTA